TTAAAATATAGTTGTATCTGCAACTGTATTTGTTAATGTTTTGAACTTTTAAAATATTACATGGTAAAAACAGACGCTTCACTTCATATTAGTGACAAACTGGTGTTTTTTGATGAGTTACTTTCATTTTTGCTTCTACTTTTCATTTAAAATAAGCTTCCATTCTCTCGGCAGGTTTCTAAGGTTCTTCTTCTACTTATTAAAAATGTTGTTAAACAACTGAGTGGTGCACTACCGCTACAAGTGGTGGGAAAGTTTATTGCACYTTATTTAAAATCAATGCYGTCCCGCGGCCCTCTGCAGCCCAAAGTTAAAAACTGTTGTTCTTTTGAGGCCYTCAAGGTGGTGTTCATGGCCCACAATTGGGCCGCGGTCCATATGTTAAGAATCTCTGCTCTAGCGTCTGCTCCACATCAGTCTGAGGCTTGATGCAACGTAATTGCAGGGTGATGTACAGGGGTAGGCGTAGCTGCTTTGCCAGTTGTAAGACAGCACTGGTTCTAGTTTGGCTCATTGTAACAATTTTTGCAGAACCTGTTGAGCCTCATCTATGAGCACAGAGGTGGTAAAAGTTTGTATTGACCATGGGAAGACCAGGAGAAGTTTTTCAGACTGATGGAAATAAATAAATATTGACTTTATAAGAGAAACTATCATGAGATGGTGGAACACATCCATAGTTTTTACTACAAACCCTCCGCTGTAGCAGACACATCAGACACATCAGACAACTCCCTTAATCAAGCTTGGTGAAGAGGATTAAAAAAAAACAGTAAAAAAAAGTTTGATAAAAAGTCACCAAAGGTTTATCTATTTCTTTAAAAGCAAGAGTTAAACAACATACAACTACTGAACAGACCAAGATGGCAGAATCTTTTATCAGTTACATGAAAAAGAAAATAGATTCTATGATAAGTAAAGGTCCAGATTGACTTTAGAATCGAAGGGATGTGACTTTTGTTCCATTTTTTACCAATAACTCTTCCTTGTGAGGATTTGCTATCACAAGGGTGTTGTCTCATCTCTGCTGACCCACCCTCAGTCCTTTGTAACTGCAAAGAACTGCAGCAATCACACCAACCTGGTATTTTTATTGATACATGTAGACATCTGCCATTGTGGTGTGAGGTTTCAAAGATATAGTCAAATACAGCTAAAAAGACCAAAATCTCTGATTAATAGTATACATTTTGGAATAACTTTATCAACGTTCTAGCATTCTGTGTTATTGTTGTGTTATTGTTTTTTCTGCCCATAGGCAGGGTTACTTTACTCAACATTTTCCACAACACAAGTTCATGTAGTAGTGGTTTTGTATACGGGTTCAAATTCTTGCCCAATGACATCAGAAGTCATGTAATGGTACATGCTGCATTAGGAAGGTTGTAATTTAATAAAGAAGGCTCTTTGTCAGATCAATCTTATGCAAGCAAATTGTGCAAAGTTTTGTTTTGCTTTGTTGTGGATCAGTTCATTCTTTAAAAAGTTTGTGATGTAAACTTTTGGAGCTCTAAAAACTTCCCTTGTTCGGTATAAATCACACAAACAAAGTGAGTATTYCTGATTTTACTCTGGTAACATCAACATTGATTTTTTGCCTTCGTTCAACTTTCAAATGACAACTGTGAGGACAGAACAACWGTCTCTGTGAGGTGCTGCTGGCCAACGGTAGTGAGGACTTCCTGAGTGTTGTTCAGGGGGAGGAAACCCCTTACCCTAAAATGGGGGACTGGGGGATGTGCTTGAACATGTTGGATCTGTAGCAGCTGCAGCTCACAACATGCAGGACTTAAAAGATCAAGTAGTAACCTTTTTAATGTCAGATGCCTCAGGGAACTTCATGGGTTCTTGTGGAAAACCCTARGTGGTCAGTTTTAGTGGATTGCTGTAACTGTATTTCAGAAAAGTTTAGATCGGACATTTTGGCCTATTGGGAATTACTTAAGTATTTTTGCAGGGAAAAAAAGTTTGATATAGCTCTGTAGTCTAGAAACACGGATCTGGTTTAAGCAAACAGGAATAAACAGTTAAGCACATAAAGAGAGACATAAAACATGTTTTTGCTATAAGCAGTTCAAACATCCTTACTCTTCAGCAAACAGGTTTGGTTTATAGTCCCACTTCTCATGTCAGCCAGTCAGTTGTTATGCGGGCGTGCAGATATGCAGCACTGAAATGGCCATGCTTTGCAAAGTTGGATGATGTCATTAAACACTTCTGCATGTAGCTATAAGCTGGCCCTCTCTCAAGTTTTCAGGGGAAAACCCAAGCTCCAAACCTGCTTTGGTGAGGAAGAAAAACATTGTGTCTCACTTAATTCAGCTCATCATCTACAGCGACTCGTGCTGCTGCTGACGTCAGGTCCTCGGGCCAAGCCAGATAATTTCAGCTGTGACAATCGATGTTTGAAAACATGGCTTTAAACCAAATATTTCCACTCATGGTTAGAAAACTCTGGTATGGGTGATCATGAGTGCAAATCCCTCAGAGTTAAATAGATAGTGCACATGGTTTCACTAATTTGAGTTACTTAAAGTAGAATTTGGATGAAATTGAAAAACAAAAACAAAAGAAGAAGCCACTCAAACTGTTAGCACTGTGACACAGAAGGTGGAGATCCTGCCAATAAAAACACCGGCTCAATATTGCCACTCTTTTTCTCATGGCCCTGAGCTATTGACCGGCATTCCTTTAGTCCCAAGTTGTGATTGTTGGTGTTTGAGTCACGTCATCTGTTGGAGGGTGTGGGTCTTTTATATAAGCCTTACGTCAGCAAAGGGTGTGTGTTCATCCGAGCCAAAATGGCTGGGAACCCATGTGAGCTTGCAAAGTAATCGACCCTGGAGCCTGTGTGCTGTCAAAATGCCTTTTACTTCAGTGATTTCTGTGTGAGATCATGGTCGAAAATTCCTTCAGAAGGGCCAAATGCTGCCCGTCATTAGTATGAGTTTTTGTTCCCTCGTTAGCACATTCCCCACGGCAAGTAGAGTAGGTGTTTTAAAAGTGTTTTGTTTGTTTCTAACTCTATTCCAAAGAAAACTTTAATAATTAGAAAACAAAAGCATGGTCACCACTTC